AGGGTGTTCTCTTAGCTCTAAAACTTAGATTCAAAGAGGAGCAGGGGTTTGCAATTGCTTTTGTGTCCTGAGTACAGGTCACTTTTGGGCAGTACCTGAATCTATTGGATTAACAGGCTGTTGTACGTGGGGAGCTGAATGATGATGCTTTGTCTCTCTGTAATGTCTGTTACTGTAAATCTCCCTGGGAACTATTCTTCTGAGAGTCTTACAAGGTGGCTATGAAAGACTGAGGGATGTGACTTATTCCTGTTGGTTTTAAGTTATGTGTAAATCTCGTTTCAACATGATTTTAAATTGTTTTTATCTGCTATCAACCTTTTTATGAAAGAACCAACAAGAATCGAGGTGTCAGTTATCCTCTCCAGGCCTGAGGGTTAGGGTCCTCCTTTTTGAGGCTGTGTTTTCTTCTTGACTTGTCTTTATGTTGACTAACCCTGGACTGTTCATTTTGAAAAAACAAAATCCGACAACCACCCAGCATCTGCTGCTGTCAGAGTGGCTCTGGTTTGCAGAAGACAGTAAATAGCAGGTTTTTCATTTGTGAGGCTAAGTAAAGCCATGAAAGCTTTAACCCTCGGTTATTCGCAGCAAGGCATCATTTCAGAGGATGCTGGATTTAAGCTAATAAATAAGGGGAAAAAAAACAACCAAACCACAACAGAAAGCCAAAGGCAGGGACTTTGAGCAGGGCCTGCTTTACATCCTGGCTTCTGTGAATTCTTACTGCAGCTGCTCTTGCAGCTGCATTATTTTCAACATCAATGTGAGCGATGCCATGTAATAGCCTCGTTACGGAGGGACTAAAGAGCTAACAGAATCCTAAAATCTTCAGACTTTTTATAAAATTTACATCCCGAAATACCATATTTAAGCTATTTTTCAGTGTTTGAATTTAAATGGGCACAATTAGAGTTGATTTTTATTTTCTTTTTCAACTGGTAGTTATTACATTGAGCAAGTATTCCTCGCGGTCACGGTCCTGCAAACACACACATGCAGCATCTTAATTTTCTGGGAGTGAGTACTCTCGCAGAGTCACATAACATTAGACATGCAAACAAGCAGTTACAGAGCTGGGGCTTATATTTATAACGAAGAGACGAGGAATGCAGCAAAATATTTTACATTGAATTGCCTGCATATTCTTTCAAAACAACAATGGTCCGCGCCTTCCTCATTGTTGGCCTTACGTGCCCTTTCAACCAGTTGGTAAAAGCCCTGATGACTTTGTTACAGCAAAAATAAACTGATGCAAAACACTTTAAAAGACTCGCTTTTACGTGTGTCCGGAGATTGCCCATAAAAGTTTGTCAGTGGTCACATTTGAATACCATTACAACAGTATTTCATCTATATTACCTAAATAGTTTTGCAAGCTTAGGCATGGATATCCTGACAATACCACCGATTTGCACAGATGTAACTAATGACCATTTAAGGATTAGGCACCATAAAAGGAACATATGTAATAAAATACTTAATTTATTGATCCTCTTGTAATGCATTGGGGTTTTATAATTCCTGAACGCAGTGCAAATAGGGAATGAGCAGTATGGCCACCCTGAAATACAGCAGACTTCATCTTATTTAGCAGCCTGTTTATAACTCGGTTTCTAGAAGGTATGCAATTAGATGACAATCTCAATGTTCTTTTAAAATACTTTCTCTAGCCCTCCTGGCTGCAGGAAAAAGCTTGGAAATATAACTCAAGTATCATGTAAAGGCTCAGGAAATAAAAGGAAGGAAATCAAAGAATGTATTTGTTAAAAAAAAATACCATTTTTGTCTGGATGGATGTTCCTGGTTGCCTGCCCGAGGATATTTAATGTTTAAGGTTAACAATATTGAGTGACAGAGGGATGTTTTTATTGGTTTGGTGCTGTAATAAGACTACCTTTATCTTTTTTTTTTCATTCCAATTATCCTTTCCATGCATCTTTCTGGTAAGTGGGGGCAGATCATGTGATTTCTGTGCCTCCTGGAGCTAATAAGACTTCACTTCTTTTCAGTGCCGCCTGGGTCAACTTACTAATATTTGTGAAACACAAAGGAATTAGAATGATGAACATCCTATAAATAAATAAATGTAGCTCCATTATTAGCCAGGAAAGCTCTGTTTTGTTTCAAGAAGTGATTACTGAAAATGCTTTACCATGTATTTTATCAGCAAACAAGATGACATTAAGTGGCAATATGTTAAAATTAGTTGCCTTCCATTCTTTCAACTTTACTGGAAAAAAGTAACATTTTCTTTTCAGATTGTATTTCCCCAAGTATAAAACAGATGCATTTGGATAAATAGATTTGGAACATATTATTAAATTAAACGAAGAAAAGGAAACATAATGAAATAAAATCCAAGTATCTGAAAAAAAAAAAAAATCCTTTTCACAGGCCTGGAGTGGAAATTTAATGTTCCTTCTCTACTTTATCCTAGTATGAAGATGACAGGTATTCTGTCATCTTCCAAAGTACCATCTGAGATGCCACTTCTGATCTGAACAAGAATGGGTGTCCATTCATGGAGAACCAATTCAAAATCCAGTTAAATGTATTAAATCTATTTCTACATTGAGCACATTGTTTGTGCTTCGTACGTTTATTACTATTATTGCAATAAAATTAAATGGTGCCATCTGAGATCAGGTTCCTATTATACTTCCACATATTCATTGTAAAAGATGTTTTTCAATAGAAGAAGCAGAGGAAAGAAGTATTCCTTGGGGTAAAATAGGGTACAGAAGTGAGGTTCAGAGAAATGAATCCTACTCAGAGGCATACAGGAGACCCATGGCAGATCAGCTTCTTACTTTTAGGGTTCCTTGCAGTTGCTTTCCCTAAGTCCCATTAAAAAATAGTACTGAGCCAGCTCAGCACCTTTGTACTCGCCTTGGGGGCTCTGGAAGAACTCTTTCTGCTGGGATAGGAAGCTCTTCCCATTGGGGAAGTGCTTGGGAAGTGAAGAACTGGCTCAGCCCAAGCCCTTGAGCTTGCTGAGGCACACAAGTAGGAGCACACCAGGGGACTGCATGGCTGTCCCTGATGCAGTCAGCCCTAAGTGCTTTTACATGTCCCAGCTCAGTCATTCCAGTTCAGATCTTCCTTGTGAATGCTTTCTGCCCACTATCTTGAAAATGGAAGAAACTGGACCTGCTGGAAGGTGTTGTACTTAAATATAATGGGAAGTCTATATCCCCCCAACCTGACTTTTACCACTGGCATCTCTGGCCATTGAGTGTAAGCAGAGGTTTCTTCCCACCTTGGACCACTGGAGGAGGTATATTCATGCTCCTCTGGACCTGAGCTCCACTGATGTACATGATAAAAAAAAAAAAAGGGTTCTAAAATAGGCTTAGAAAAGGGTTTTAAGTAAGGTCCTTATTAATTTGTAAAGAGACTAAATTGCTGAACGCACTTAAATCAGAGCAACTTGTTAACCCTACTTTTTAAAGAAATTCTGCAAGTGCATTTAAAAAATGCAGTAAAATATGAAATCTCTGCTGCTTCTAACCCAGACAAAAACTGTAACTGCAGGCCACAAAACAGAGCTGATGGAGGAAGGTGTGCTGGAGTTATGTTCACAACTTGGAACACTGCAAAGGTTCAACAAGTGTTTCAGAATAGAGTAGAAAATGGCATAAACCTCACAGACATCAGTCCCACCCCGGGGCCGAGCGATCCTCTTAGGTGCCAAGGACTAAAGAATCCCATGAACAGAGGGAGACAAGTGGATAAGAAACACAAAACAAAATCAGCACAATTAATGAAGTAACTAAGATACAAAATCTCAAAACAGAACAAATGTGCCATATTGCTAGAAAAATGTTGTTTTGCAGATAAATGAATAAATTTACTTTCAAGCCAGGCTTTTTTTTTTTTTTTTTCCACCCAGTAGCTTCAGCCCTATTGCTTCCTCTGCACATTGGCTTCCCCAGGTGCAGCAACTTAGATATGGCATCTAAATTTCCCTACTTTAGTTACACAGTTGAGGTGAAACCTAGACAAATGAATCATCACATCCTACCCGCTCCTACTGATCTGCTGGCTCAAAAATGCAGAGCAAAAAAATTGTGGGGAAAAGTGCAGCGGGGCTAAAGAAACAGAAAGAGGAAAAATAAAATGGAAAAGGCTAGTAAGACAGGAGAAACAATGAAGATCTGAGGAGGGACTAGAGAAATAAAGGAAGACAATAGGGGTGTGAAATGTGGTTGATTGATGAGTAGAATTAATGAAACTGAGCTTCCTGGGACTTTCTAGCTGGGCTCTCTGGTGGCTAACAGCGTGCCAGCTCCCATCGAAGCTTTCCCTGTGGTTGGAGTATTCACAGTGCCTCTCCCTCAAGTGAATTTTCCTAGTGTCTATTAAGGGGGTTGTTCATGATGCAGTAATTTGAAGATAGGATCCAGGGAGATAAACAATAAACAATAATTAAACTGTTTTCCTCAAAAAAACCCATAATGCTGTAGTTAGAATGAAATGGGACTGGAAGGAAGATGCAAAATGGAAAGAAAAGTGAAACAAAAAAGGAGAAGACCCTTCTCCATCTACATCTTCAAGGATGATTTTTTTATTTTTTAAACTTACATGACTAATGGGAGAGGAATGTATGGAGAGCACTGGAGAGTGGCTGAGACAAGGGCCTGAAAAGCTCCATATTGCCAGAGGAGCACCCTGAATGGAGATGGCTGAGACGTAAAGAGGTTGATTTTAGGTGACAGAAAGAAACAAGGCAGTTTGGGTAGGTGGGAGAGGAGGTTACTGGAAGAAATCCGTTGTGATCTCTGGAAGGTGCTGAGGCTGGACTGTAAATTTGGGTGAGATGAAGAAAATGAAAAGCTGCTCCCTCGTTAGTCTCCATCCCATTAAGCATGAAGGTGATAGAGGAGAAGTGATAGGTTTCCTCTGTGTTGGACAGGAGCCCTGTGCTCCCTCACAGGACTATCCCCACCGCAAGCACCAAAGCTACAGCCAGCTCAGGAGAAGCAAGATATTAATACCTGGTTATTCCTCCAAGGGAAACGTTCCAGATGTGATAACCCAGGCCCCACCTAGAGTCCTCCTGAGCACGGCAGAGAGACAGGCAGCTTTCTCACTTACCCGTTAGGTCTCCGTCTGCTGTTGGCAGCTGCAGTGCCTGGCGGAATGTTTCAGGGTTTGAAAGACAACATTCCAGGTATCCTTGGAGACCCCACCGCCTGGTGTCCCACACCTCCCCATGTCCTCACCAGCTGCTGTCCCTGGCAAACTCTGCATCTTCACCACCCTGTGTCCCCCATATCCGTGGTGTTTCCCACATCCTTACCACCCAATGTCCCCAACATCTCTGTGTCTCCACCACCCTGTGGCCCTGCTCTGTCCTCATCATCTGGTGTCCCCTACATCCCTGGCACTCTACCTGTTGCCACCACCCAGTGTCCCCCATGTCTCCAGCATCTCCATGGGCCCACCACCCCTCGTCCCCAGACACCATGCTGCTTGCTACCACTCCCCCACCTGCATGGAGAGACCCCAGGACTGGCTATGACTCAGTGGCTAAAAGCAAAGGTGGCAAATCTGTGTTATAAATGAGTCCTCCCAGGCTAAGTAGGAAGTCCAGCCCACCCAACTTGCATTATTTATGATGGGTGATGGCTCTATATGGAGCAACAAATTTGAAACTCCTTATAAACTTGGTTGAAGTTACTACTCTAAACTTCCTAGTTGGCAATCAAGATCTGATTAATTTTTTAGAGCATTATAACAATGTGCAACTTTGCGTAACAAAAATGTAGAACAAAAAGAGAAGCAAGAATTACAAAAGGTGAAGTAATCAGCAGGCTTATTATAGACACTGTCAGGTTGCTCAAGTCCCCTGATTTAAGTTAAAAAAAGAAAAAAGAAAGTACTAGTGCAGATGGATTGCTCATAAGATGTATCCAAAGTTGCTAGTCCAAACAGCATAATTTTTAAGGCTAAGCATTCCCTATACAGCAATGTTTGAACCGAATGCTTTTTATGGATGCGATTAGTTCGTATAGTTGTGTGATTATGCACATGGGATCTGATTCACAGGATTGCTTCTTTCTTCCTTGACAAAAGATAGATGTAAGAAAAAGCCTAAAAAGGTTTGTGCTAGTTAAAAATATTCATGAAAAGTAAAACTTCTGGTTTAGAAAAGCCACATAAGGAGAAAAAATGGAGTTTCTAGATCTTTTGAAATTTCTACTGTGCAAAGAGTTGTAGTGTTTAAGGCTCATAAAACAGATTAAGAGTCCAGTGACATACAAGAGTGGATTTTTTTCTCTGCTCTCTGTTTGGCTATATATCAATAGGTCTTCTAGACAGAGGAAGAGTCTTGCTGACTACATCAAAGATTCCCTATTAGGAACAGACCTTAAAAAATAAAAAGTGGGCCTACTTGAAAAGTGTTTGTCAGGTATTTTTTAGTGGAGATTTTGTTTCTTCACTAAAAATATGCACATACACACACCCCCCAAATATATTTTTTGGCTGAAAAATAAACAGGAAAATAAAGTAGTTGTGTTTGATTAAAATATGACTGATCTGAGAAGCAGGCTCTGTTGGTTTCTGTGATACATAGCCCAAGCAGGGAGCGAATTAAACACAAGCACATGAAGTGTGGAGACCACACCTTTCACGAGACATTGAAACAAAGTTCTCAAATCAAAATGCTTTGCCTTTCATTTCCAAAATGACTTGTCTTAAATGCTTCCATGAAAAATAGCAGGTAGCCAGAAGCAGCCAGGGGAGGGCTTTGGAGAGTGGTATGGGTAGCCTTTGGATGGGAGCAGTCCCGGCCCTTGGTGAGATGACTCATCTTGTTGCTGCTACTTCCCTCTGAGAGCAGTAGAGAAAATAAGCATTGGCATCATATACTCTTGCAGATCTTTTCCGGTCAAAAGCTGGGCTGCTACTTTATTTTGTGAAAGTCTGTTTTTTATAGTTCTCGGATGACCACATGGCGCTTCCACCTTTGAAGAGACGCAACGCAACGTTCATGTGTTCAAAGGTAAAAGTGCATATGGTCGTTGTTCATTTTGGGACGTTCTGGAAACAAATCGTAAAGGACCAGAGGAGAAGTCAGTGCTTTGGGAACTGGAGAGAAGATGTACTGGACAGGGAGGGTCACAGATGTTTCTTATCGATCTGTTTGCTTTTCATTTATAACTTGCAACTTCCCATTGTTAGCTGGGCTAAGTTTTGCTAGAGGATTTCCACGTTAGCTACAGATCATACACTTACAGCAGCTTTTTTTACGCAGCTACTCTTAAATCCTTCGGGAGGCAGTTACCTCTCTGGTAGCTGTGCCCTTCATGAGGTATAGGCTCTTGCGTTACTGGTAGATTAGCATGTTCCCATATCCAATAACTCTGAGTAAGTGGCATATTTAGAGCATCTATCATAACATTAAGAAAAGGTTTCTGCCATGCTGTGGTGATGGAGAACATTTTGTGATACCCTGGAATTGAATCCGCTTATCCTGAACATACCCTCTGGCTTTGGATGCCCCCACACTTACTTCCTGCAAAACACATTAATTTGGGAGGCCTATTTGTTTTAATGCCTTTAACTGCCTACGTCATTCCTGAGAAAGGATGAAGCTGTGATATGTTGGCACACTGGTCTAAAAATTGGGATAATGCAGGACTGAGGTGAAAATGAGAAGTATCACTAATGCTTGGGTCAGTGGTGGGGAAGGAGAAGCCGAAGGAAAAACAGCATCTTCTGTCTCTGCAACTGTTTAAAAAATAATGGTAAAAAGACCAGCAGAAACTTGGAGGAATTTAGTCCTTAATCCAGCCAGGCTCCCGCTCCTCCCCTCCCTGCTATTTTTAAACAAATTACTTTTAATATTACCTAGACATTAATGTTTTAGATTGGGTACTATTCATGCTTCATAACTGCTTTTCATAAATGTTTTAATGGGTCCAGGCCCAATTCCACTGAGGTCAATTAGAAGATTCCAAATAAATCCTTCCTTCCCCTCCTTGCATTAGTATGCAGCTTGTAAGAGGGCTGACATTGGTCTGTGCTTTTATCTTAAAATAATCCAAAAGGCGATTTTCCTATGGGAAGAACTATCACTATATAATTTGTGGGTGGTACTTAAAGGGATGTTGCCCAGGTAAAAACACTTATCTTTAATTTAGGGCCCAATTTTCAGACATGCTGAACACAATTCTACCTGAAGTTAAATATAGGCTTTGGTGGTCAATACCTCTGAAAACCAGAACCATAATTTTTAACATATCTCATTTTGTCTCAGGCTTGTATTGTCCAGAATTAGGTTTAAAGCAGTTTGGAAGTGAATTTCAATGTGTTCTTTCTGCAAATATTGCAGCAAAATAAAGTGGTATATTACGATAAAAATATGTTCTGTTTTATTTATGTCTTAACTTCATGCCTGCGAATATCTGACTTTAATGAAATTCATTTTTAAATGGACTTCAAACTTTAAATAACTAAAGCATCTTTCTTCACAACAAGAATATAGTACATTTTTGGTCCGATATGCTGTAAAAAAATAGAGGATGAGCTGTAAAATACCTTGGGAAATATTGACTTTTTTGTTTGTTCATATTATGGATGGCTAACTGGATAAATACTACCATGGCTTGCTGCAGAAACCTGAGCTTAAATTTCTGTTATACCTCTAAACTTGCAGGTCTGGGGCAAATAATTTACTGAATGAGGCCCTGAGCCTTTGTGCTACACATTCCTAAGTCTCTGAACACCAAAGGTCTAGCTTTAATCAGAACTACTTTGAAAATACTCCTTTAATGCTCTTTAAATGCAATTTTTATAAGTACTTTTTGGCATACTTTAACTGCAGACTTTCACATTTGTCTAGGATGTTTTAAGAAATTGGAAATGATTTCTGGTATTTGAGACCAAGCTTGAAATTGTGCTGAAAACACAGTTCTCCCAGAGACTTTTCAGCTGAATTAATTACAATACAATCAAGCTGTGGCATGTGGGACAAGGAACATCTGGTGATAACCTTGGCTGATCTTACTGTAGATTGCATTCATGAGTCTGAATAGTTTTCTGGACATATTGATGTAGTCATTATGCCCGTTTTCAATTTATGTACTTGTGATGGCTTTGGCCATCTTGACAAAAAGCACCCCACACTTAGGTCAAGGACTCTGGAACCGTTAGCTTTCAGTGAGAAATTACTTGCGGACTCATTATATGTTTATTGTCTAAGGCTCCTTGTAATAGGAAATCTGTTTTGTGCATTAGCAATGTACATCATTAGTTTTGTATATTCCAACTGGAACTATTAGAAACACATCTTCCTCCAAGAAGAGAACTTGAAACAATTCAACAAAAGAAATAAGAAATCAAGCTGTGCTATTCTTTTCATTGTCTTCTAGTTATATTATCTGTGTATGCATGTATGTACTGAGGAAATTTAATGGCTAAATAGCTTCAAGATAATTCTAGCTTTTTAAAAGCAAATAGAAAATCATCGCTCCGTGAAGCTGAAGGCAACCATACAGCACTGGGAAAAAAATCCACATATGCCCAATACATAGCTATATTGTCTTTTTTACTGTCAGCTGCCCTGTGCGGAAGCAAAATGTCACTCCTGCAATCTGGTAGCATTCTCTGTCCACTCTGATGAGGAGTAAAGGATGGGAATGGATGCAGGGCAAACAAAAGCCAAGCTGCTTTAGATGTTGATGTCTTCTGAGTGCCAAAATACTTCTGGTGTTTTAAATTTTAGAAACATATAGCGCTCAGACTCAGATTATCTGAAAATTGACAACAAAGACAGAGTAATCATGCACATGAACATACTAAATCCCATTGAACTTTCTAATAAAATAAAAATTCCTGACACTTCCCTGGAAGAAATATTTCCAGTTGATACAGCCTCTTATGAAAAAAAGGACAGCTTCATCATACTGCTCCTTTTTTCTGCAACCACACCCTTGTGTCTGCTTCTCCTGAAGCATCAAACCATCCTGACTTGGACAGAATCCAGGTGCAGCACCGATGGACACTTTACAAAGGAGAA